TATATATACTTTCATTCCAAGTATTCATCATACTTGGTAGTATTCTTTTACATCAATGTTGCAACTGAATTAGGACCAACTAGGTACCTTTAATGTATGATCCTTGTTTTCTTTCTTACTAATTGTAAGACTTAAAAGTTGTAGTTATTTCCTGGGGATATATGTACTTTCTTATCTATCTCATGAATAATGAATTAGGCATAAATATACAGATGATTGCTCGTGTAGTGGCATCCACAAAGTACATGGTCAATTGTTAACTTTTTTAATATTTATGCAGACTCATCTGAATGGCAACATCCGTTATCAATACTACTACACCGGAACTTAAACATTTCGTGGTCGATCAAGGCCATGGTGTGAAAGGTCTAGCAGAACTCAAGATTAAAACTTTACCAGAATTGTTCATTCAGCCTCTTCAAAGAAGGCTTGATATGACCAAAGTGGTGCCCGAGTTGATCCCTGTCATCGACATTTCAAAATATGAAGATCCAGAGGTAGTGCAATCTATATGTGATGCAGCTAAGAACTGGGGATTCTTTCAAATTGTTAACCATGGTGTGCCTGTTAGTATAATCGATAATCTGAAGGATGCAACACATAAGTTTTTCGCATTATCAACAGACGAAAAGAAGAAATACTTGTTCCAGAATAGTCCTACGAAAAATGTTAGATTCCTTACGAGTTTCAGACCCGAAGTGGACAAAGCTTATGAGTGGAAAGATCACTTGAGTTGTTTCTATGTTTCTGATGAAGAAGCATTGAAATTTTGGCCCTCTGTTTGCAGGTAAATATCATCTGTTAAAATGGATCTATATTAATGCATTTATTCGTCTTGACAATTTTTAAATATATCTCCTAATAAATCTTAAAAAAGTGTATGTGTTAACACTTTGGGTTCATGGTTGGCAAATCTGTTAAAGCAAAGAAACACATTGCTATCATATGGTTTACTTTTGCTATCATATGGTTTACTTTCGTCTGATAAGCTCATAAAATGGTTGCATAATTTATTAAATTCATAAATATTTAATTTTATAATGAATAAAAAGAAGAAATTATTTGATTTTAATGGATGGATCGGTTTAGGAATTTAAACACTTATCACAATATGGGAAACGCTAAAACCATGTCCTTCGTACCAAAAACTTTAATTTTATATGGCTTAACCATTACCAAATACATATAATATAATATATTGTGTCGTAACATATAAACGTCGAAATATCACTTAAACTGGTCTTGGGTTTTTATAGGCATCAGGTTCTTGAATATTTGAAGTCGTCTGAAATACTTATCAAAAGGCTATTAGAAGTACTAATGAAGGGATTGGGCATACCAAAGCTCGACAAAACAAATGAATCATTTCTTATGGGTTCAAAACGTATAAACCTAAATTACTATCCCATATGTCCTAACCCTGAACTCACAATTGGTGCTAGTAGTCATTCAGATGTTTCAACGTTAACTGTGCTTCTTCAAGATGAAACTGGGGGACTTTATGTTCGAAAACTTGATACTGATAGTTGGGTCCATGTTCCTCCTGTTAAGGGTTCGTTGACCATTAACATTGGGGATGCTCTTCAAATCATGAGCAATGGTCGATACAAGAGTGTAGAGCATCAAGTTGTTGCTAACGCGAATGAAAACCGAATTTCGGTACCGATTTTTGTGAACCCAAGGCCAAGTGATGTCATCGGCCCGTTGCCGGAAGTGATCAACGCAGGGGAAAAGGCTTTGTATAAGCAAGTTCTATATTCAGATTATGTGAAGCATTTTTTTAGGAAATCGGTGAATGGGAAAGATACTGTTGAGTTTGTTAAGGTTTGATTATGTGCTTGAAAAAGAAGATGGAAATTCGAAATTTATGTGAAACAATAATGTACCCATAGTCTAAGTTCTTCAAATGTATCTCAAGGCTCTGGAAGTTTGATAGGACCCAATAAAGAAATAAATGATTATAATATATTAATTTAAATAAAACAATTTTAAGGATATTGAATTCTTGTAAACTCTATAGAATTGTCATGTCTTTCAAATACTGTATTGCACAAGATGCGATAAAAAATGACATGATATATTGGTAATACTGTTTTAGATTATATCGCGCACATAAGCAAATTTAATTCATCTTCACTCAAATAAGTATACACAATTTGGTATAATTTTCCAAAACAAATTGCATCAAAAGATTCAAAAATATTGATAAATGAGTGGTTCAAATAGAATCACAAAAGATTTGGAACCCTGAAAACCCAAATTTCAAAAATACTTATTAAATATAGTATGAATAGTTATTAAATACGTTAAAATTATGATTTTTTTTTTTGTCTTTTTTGTAAAAAAATGCAATATCATAATTTCTACAGTCTAATATTTTTATTCATACATTAATTTATATTTTAACATGAATTTTATATAAAATACACATCTTAATACAATCCAATCTCATGTAATATACAAATTTTACAACTTAATACGATCAATTATACATTACTTTACAGATTCAGAGAAGTCAAACCCTACTTTACCACCACCACCAACTATCACGTGTCGCCACCAACCACCTGTGCCACCATCGCAACCATCATTTCTTTCAAATCAAATTTGTATATAAAATCATGCATTCAGAGCTGAAATAATATATTCATCGTTTAATAAACCAATTAATTCACCAAATCGGAGCTTAACCCAAAACATTTATAAAAACCAACACATTCTTACAAATTTATACAACACAAAAAATAAATATATTCACAAAAAATTACTATAAACTTTCATACACAAATCATTCATATTTTTAACACAAAGTTCATAAAAAGAATTCATAGATTAATACAATCAGTTCATATTTTAATACATTCAATTCACAATTTAGTACACAAAATTCATAGCTTAATATAATAAATTCTCAGTTTAATACACAAAAGTTTTACATTCACAATCATATTTTCAACTTAAAATTTACATTTTTACATTCATATATGGAGGCTAGTGTTTTTTCAAATGTTAATTTACACAACATTCAAAATTTAAATTTTATATATTTTATTCAAAATTAAAGGAAATCATATTTGTGTCTAATGCTTCTATTATCTCATATTTTAGAAGCAAACACAAAATTCGAAAAAAAAAACCATAACTTATACAGTCAATTCACAGCTTATTACAATCAATTCAAAGTTTAATACATAAAATTCACAGCTTAATACAATAAAATCGTAGTTTAAAATACACAAATTATATATTCAAAGCCAGATACTCAACTTAAATCTTACATTTCAAGACTTTTATTCATCTATATATCTATATATCTATCTATACCTTTATAACTCTTATAAAAGAGACTATCCAAGTGAATATTTTTCAAGATATGTCATATACTTATATCATATTCATTTGAAACCTCAATAACCTTTCCAATTTCAACCAATTAATAACAACCACTCAAGAGTTTTTAACATATATCTTATAATTACTTACCTAAATGATTTTTCATTTTCCTAAAATTAATGTCATTTACTAACAACTTTTTTCCCCGTTATATATACATATCTATCCATATTAGTATTATATTAGTAAGATTATACTACAACACATTTATATGTTTGAAGTGGTTTGTGATTCAAATACAAAGAGTTGAAAATTTTAAATAGTTGAAGAAATAGTTTTACTCACAAAAAAAAAGTAAGAATTTTATTTTTTTTCTTAATGTACCAAATATATTTTTAGCTTATGTTCATTTCTATATATTCTTTTTGTGTGATTTTATGAATTTTAAATATGTTTCTTGAATACAATTATGATAATATATGTTTTAGCGTTTTTATGTTAGTTAAGCTTATAGTACTTTCATACTATTTGTTATTTGTTATATATATATATATATATATATATATATATATATATATATATATATATATATATATAGACACACACACATTTTAAAAAATCTTATAAAAAACTATTCAAGTGAATACGTTTTGAGATATTTCATATACTTACATCATATTTATTTGAAACCTCAACAACCTTTCAAGTTTCAACAAATTAATAACAACCACTCTAAGTGTTTTTTAATTGTATCTTATAATTACTTAACTAAATGATTTTTCTTGTTCCTAAAATTGATTTCATTTACTAATTACTTTTTGTTTTCCCCTCATGTATGCATTTATATCTATATTGTTAGTATATAAGTAAGATTCTCCTCAAAAAAACATTCATATGTTTGAAGTGGTTTGTGATTCAAATATGAAGAGTTGAAGAATTATAAAGAGTTGAAGAAATATGTTTTGTTACATAAAAAGTAATAATTTTAATATTTTTCTACATGTACCAAATATATTTTAGCTTATGTTGATTTTTATGTATTCTTCTTTTTTGATTTTAAGAGTGTTTAATATGTTTCTTGAAAACAACTTTTTTAGTGTACGTTATAGTAGTGTTTTTACGTTACTAAAACTTATAATACACTTATAGTATTTGTTTATTTGTTATATATAAAATTCAAAATATGTATGATATATTTGTTCAACTTCCAACCTTATTTAACTTACTAAATATAAAATATTATCATATCAATGGTAAAATTTGTGAATTATTAATATAATATACTTAGTATTTTAATTTAAATATAGTGTTAAACACGACGTCTATATTCAACTTTTGAATTACCTATGTAATTTGTTAATTTAAATATGATATTAGATATGAAACTTAAACCAAAATCTCAAATAAACTTAAAATTTGATAAAAGTTTATTAATAATTAAAATTATTAAATGTGTTAAATATAAACATGAATCGAAAATTCGAATCAATCAAAATAATATCCAGTAGCTTACAAGCTCAAATTACCTCAAGAACTCAACAAGGTTCATGATACCTTCCATGTGTGTAATCACAAAAAGTGTCAAGGTGATGAGAACCTCGTCATTGCACTCGATGAGATCCAGGTCAACACTAAGCTTCACTTCGTGGAGGAACCAATGAAGATCATGGATCGTGAGATCAAAAGACTCAAGCAAAGCCGCATACATATAGTAAAAGTCTGATGGAACTCCTGTATAGGGTCGGAGTTTACTTGGGAACACGAGGATCAAATGAAACAAAAGTATCCACATTTTTTTAGTGATTCCCCCTCCACTAGTGGAATGACTTTTTAATAGCACAAAGTAGCCTATAACTTAATAATTTCATGATGAAATTCCCTTAACGGGGAGGTAATGTGACATCCCGAAATTTAGGTCATAAACTACGAACGACTAAATTACACTAAATCTTTTTGTATTTAACTCATTTAGTTTTAGTGAATCTAATATAAAATAAATGATTTCATTTCAAATACTATAAAATATCAAACGATACCCTACTTTCAAATGTCTAAACTGTCAAATGAATCAAACAGCTCAAACCGCAACACTGGTTAATGCGTCTGAAAAACAGAAATTTCATATTAAGCAGTTTTGAGCAAAGAAAACATTAAAACCTTATAGTACACGTTCCCCTGTTTCTGAAAATATAAAGAACGTCGAAAACATAGTTCGTACGCAAAAGATACGACAATTTTAAAACACAAAACAAACATTAAAACATTCGTTTTCTTTAATTGCGTAAAACCGAATCGATCCGTTGAGGCACTTACACACCTCCGATGGAAATTCCGAGAGCGTTTTTGGAGTCAGGCTATAGCCTAATATTTAATTTTATAATGAAAATGTTTTTAGCAAAAATATTCACGAAAATCGAAAAATCGAGTGTTACAGACTATTTAGACGCGAAACTTTAAACGCGATTTCCCGGATGTGACATCCCCAATTTCACGGTCAGAAAAGACTGATTTGTTTATGCTTTATTTAAAATTCAGAGTAACCTTTTGAAGAATAATGTTGCGGAATTTGTTCCTAAAAATATGATAAAGATTTTATCAAAACATTTCCGAAGAAATGTGTTTAATTATATTAAAAACATTGGGATGTTATTGTCAATACAATACGTAAGCAAAAATAGAAATAGTACAAACCTTACAAACATCTATTAATATAATGTCCTTAATCCATAGATCTCTCATCTGATCATCACACATGTGCTCTTTTCCCACTATCTGTAATATAAGAAACTGAGTGGGTCAGGCTTGGGAGCCCGGTGAGCACGTAGGGTTTTCAACCCACAATAATTAAGTTCTTTAATTTCATCAAATCATTCAACCCAATTACCTGTTCCTGTTATCCTCACTTCCTGTCCCTAAAGTATCTAATTTAAGGGACCTATCCTAAGGATCATCATCGGGATAGACAATACTGCTTAAGGGATTCCTCAACAATATATGTTCGTAAGGCAACCATGAGGGGATGGAGTACATCTGGTGAACACATCGTTCACAAACACCTACAGGTTGCGAGCCTGCTAGCGTTCCACTAGACTGTCTAAAATAATCCGTGGTCGTCATCTATACTCAGCTGGGTGACTGGGTCAGCTTTCAACATCGTGGCCTCTCATCATTTTATTTCATCTTTCATCATCTATTTCATGTACCCATCTTTTCTCAACATATTGATAGGTATAAAATAGATATACAATTTAAATCAAGAAAAACATCTATACATCGTTCGTCCAACATAGATATCAAGAACACATATAATATGTACGTATAACACGTAATTTATTTTAAATACTTCATATCTATGTGTAAGATGAAAGTAACTATGCACTCACTTGATAAAGTGATGACTCGAAATTTGGGCAGTGCTTTGCTTCTAACAATTTTCTTTTCCTTCGACGAAACCTAGTATCATTATTACTAGATTTTAGTCTAATATTTATTGCGACTAATTATTAGTCTAGATTCATCATTAACTCAAAGTCTATTTTCATGATCTATCATGTCACAACTGGCAAAATTAGGTTAAGATGTGAACTCCTAAACAATATAATCTCCTTGTA